CCCGACCCTGACCCCGACGAGTGGGGTCCAGTTCTACAAAGTGGCTGTGTGCGTTCAGTCTTAGCCCGTAAGGTCGACAAAGCTAGAGCCACAGGCTCAGGGCAGCCCGAGTAAACAGATGGAGCCAGGCTGTCGCCTGCAGGACACTCGCTGCACTTGCTAGCCCAGCACAGGGCGCCCTCAGCGAGGGTTCCCGCTCCCTCGGTACCTGTTACACCCTCCTCATCCTTCACCAGCACGGAGACCCAGGCGGCAGGGCACAGAACCGGGCACGCGGGCAAACGCCACCAACACCAGCAGCCAGCGAGGTCTGACCGGGCCTAGCTCACGGGTGCGTGTGGCGGGGGGGCGGGTTCCTCATGGTGATGGCTATGCCGGGCCCACAGCAAGCAAAGGGCCGGTGTTCCCACACCCTGGGAAGGCCCCCTCCCCTCTTGGTCTCGGCCCAGCAGCCAGAGGCACTACCGAGGTTCCGGGAGGGCCTGGACTGTCCCACGGAGCCACATCAAAGGAAAGGACGATGCAGAAAAGCCGTGGGTACTGAACAGCATTTCTTTAAATTCCTGGCTTCATCTACAACGCTCTTAGAAGGAGATGTGGGGCAAAAGCCTCACCACACGGGACGTGGCAGTGACTTCTCATGCATGGCGCCAGAGGCACAGGCCAGAAAAGGAAACTAGACAAATTGGACTTCATGAAAATTAAAAACTTTTCTGCATCCAAGGACCCTATCAACAGAGTAAAAAGGCAACCCACAGATGGGAGAAAATATTTTAAATCATATATCTGATAAGTGATTAAGATCCAGAATATAGAGAGCAATCTTAAATCTCAACAACAACAAAAAACAACTCAATTTTTAAAATGGGCCGATGACTTGAATAGACCTTTCTCCAGAGAAGATGCACGAATGGTCAACAAGCCCATGAAAAGATGCCGAATATTACCCACCAAATTAAGACCACACTGGAAACCAGCTCACTCCTGTCAGGACGGCCGCTTGGCAAAAAAAACCCAGAAAATAACAGTGTTGGCGAGGACGTGAAGAAACGGGGACCCTCGGGCACCGCTGGCGGGAGCGTAAGACGGTGCGGCCTCGGGGGACCCGCGAAGGTTAAAACTGGAAGGGCCACGTGGTCCAGCGATCCCGCGTCTGGGTACGCGCCCGGGAGGAGAGCGGGGTCTCCAGGAGGGCCTCGCGCCCCGATGTTCACAGCGCATCCGTCGCAGCAGCCAACAGGTGGAGCACCCCGAGTGTCCACCCGCGGGCGGATGGCGGACAGACCGTGGCGCATCCACACAAGGGAATGTCATTCCGCCTCCAAATGAAAACCATCCGACACCTGCCGCAGCAGGATGGGCCTCGAGGACGCGACGCTGAGGGAAGGAAGTCGCGGGACAAGCACGGACCCCACGCGTGCGGGGCCCCCGGGGAGACAGAGGCAGACGGGTGGGTGCCGGGGCTGAGGTGTGGGCGGTTGTCGTATTCAGTGGGGACAAGGTGTCAGTTTCGCGAGATGAATAGTGTCCGGGGGGTGACAGCGGAGACAGCCGCACGACGCCGCGAATGGCCTTGATGCCGCTGAGCTTAGAAAGGGTTAAGGTGGTGACCTTTAGGTCGTTTGGCACAATGATTTTTTTTAAAAAAAAACAGGTACAGTATGACCTCATTTTGGCAACAACAAAACAAAATCAACCGTCTCCAAACACCCCGATCACCGCTCGATCAAGCTGTCACCGAAGGCTCGCTCCCGCCCTGGCCAGGGGCCGAAGCAGAGCTCCCAGAAGTGGACAGGAGACCCCGCGGAAAGCCCCTCTGACATCAGAACCAGGAGAGGTGCCACCCCCGAAACGGAACCACCGCGGCCGTGAGGAAAAGAGGAAACGGGCCACACTGGCTGGAAAAGGAGAGAAAACGCCCGTTCTGCAGACAGCGCGCCCCTCCCCGCCAGGGGTCGGCGGGCGAGTGTGCGCGCAGCGGGCGTGAGCCTGGCGTCCGGCAGCTACACGTCCGCTCACCAGACTCCCGAACCCCCGGGACGGCCCTGGGCGGCGGCGCAAGGAAAAGCGGCCACGCGTGTGCCCCGGGGACGGCGACGGCTCTTTCACTGCTGCGGGGCCACCACTTGTGTCACTGGTTCATGGTGGACGGATAATGAAAGTCCGTCCAGCGCGGCGATGGCGTGGTGCGACTCGTCTGCTCGGAAGTCTCGACGAGAACCACATACGCTATCGTGAGATACATCGCTTTTCACTGAACACGCCCGAGCTGGGGTCAGCGGGTGCGGGCAGTGTCTCCACCTCGGGCCACGTCCGCTTCGCGTCGATCGGTGACCGACTGTCACAGTGTCTGCTTCTCAGTGGGCTGAGAGTGGACACAGCCCAGCAAGGGCAGCTCCAGCCTGGCCCAGGACACAGCACCCCGGTCCCAGCCCAGCAGGTCCGCTGACTGGGATCTCTGGCCAACACCACTTAATATAGAAACATCTAGAAGCCTGCAACCAGACCAAAGCCACAGACTGCCTTTCCTGAGACAAACCAAGGGACTTTTGTCTGGCCCGTTGAGTGGCTTTGCCTCTTCACATTTTTTATGCCTGTAAATTTTTAAAAGCAAAACCTTTCATTTTTTCTCAAGTATTTGGAACATCGAGGCTGGGGAATACAGCATGACACCATGCAAAGCTCCCCCGCCAGGAACAAGGGCCAGATGGAGGGTCCAAGGCACACCCACAGACGCCTCCAGGGCCAGCAACCTCCACCCGGCACCCCCAGGCCCCCCAGCCCGTCACCAGGGCTGGTCCCCTCCAGCTTTTTTCCGAAAAGATCTCTTTAAAAGATAATTGTTTAAAGCAAAAACAATAATGTATTGTGCATGTGGTTTAAAACTAATGTAGAGGTAAAACCTACAAAAATAAAGTAGCACAATGAGCCAAGAGAGATAAAATAAAATCATTAAAAAATATCTAATTAATCCAATAGAAGAAAATAGGAAAAGAAAACCCCCAGGCCCCCCCAGCCCCTCACCAAGGCCAGCTTGCTGTCTATGCTCCTGTGGTGCTCGTAGGCCAGGTCGCAGGCCACGCACAGGGCGCTGCCCAAGCCCTTGGTCAGGAGCAGGTTGGGGTTGGCGCCGTGGGACAGAAGCTCCTTCACTATCTGGACAGAGACAGGCTTGTCAGCGTCCACCGGGTCCCCTCCCCTCCCTCTTCGAGGAACTCCCTGGAGCGAGGCCACTGGTGCACTGAGCACGGCGGTGGCCGCGCCTGGGGCTGAAGCCACCACCTGAGACTCTCATGGCTCCCTCCCAGGTTCCACTGCTGCCTGGGCCAGGGGACAAGGCTGGGGCGTGGGACATGTGGCAGTTCCTCAGGGAGGGCTGCCATCCCTCCCGGTGGCCTGGGCCGGCACTTCCTCTGTGGCCTCTCCAGTTGCTCCAGAGTGACCTTGGCCCCAGTCCTGTTGCCCATCCCAGGGCGGAGCTGAGCCCGCCAGCACGGGTCCGGCGCACGTCCTGTCGGCCCGCGTCCGGGGGCCGGTCTGCCTCTGCCCTCTGGGCACCTGGGCCTGTGATCACCTGACCAGACACGGAGCGGCCTGGTCTCACCTGTCCCCTGCTGTGTCCTCCGCCACCAGCCCAGGTGCCACCCAGGAAGCCAGGAGCGACAGCAGCTGCGGCCGGATACGGACACTAGCATCGGGCTCTCCGAGGAGCCCCACCCTCTCAGAGTGAAGCTCTCGGCCAGCCAGGCACGGCCCGCTGGGCGACGGGCTCCGCACAGGAGTGGAAGGAGGCAGAGGAGACGGGGCCCCTGCGGAAGCGCCACGGAAGCCCCGCCTGCACCACCAGTGCCCTCAGCCTCCGCTCCGATGCCCCCTGACCAGAAAGGCCCACCTGGCTGCCCTGCCGAAGCAGCCCGCCCTCATCATGCTCTCCCTCGTCAGTCTGTATTTCCTTCGTGACAATGTGTCCCATACTGGCTTATGGTCTGTCTCCCCCAGTGGAGGACCCTGGATGGCAGAGGCTGCTTTATTCAACACCTAGTGTCTAAAAGGGGGCCCGTCTGGCATACAGTAGATGCTCCAAGACAACAGGTAAATGCAAGGACGAAGAGGTAGACGGAATATGCATGGACGGATGAATTGTAGTTGGGTGGATGGGTGGATGGACGGATGAATTGTAGGTGGATGGATGGATGGATGGATGAATTGATAGGTGGATAGAGGGATGGGTGGGTGGGTAGATGGGTGGATGGATGGATAAATTGTAGGTGGGTGGATGGATGAATGGGTAGGTGGGTGGATAGAGGGATGGGTGGGTGGGTGGATGGGTGGATGGATGAATTGTAGGTGGGTAGATAGAGGGACAGATGGGTGGATGGGAGGAAGGATGGATAGAAGGAAGGATGGATGGATGGACGGACAGATGGATGGATGGACGGACAGATGGACAGATGGATGCATGGATGGATGGATGGATGGATGGATGGACGGATGGACGGACGGACGGACCGGATGGATGGACGGATGGATGGACGGATGGATGGATGGATGGATGGATGGATGGACAGATGGATGGATGGATGGATGGATGGATGAGTGGATGGGTAAGTTGGTAGATGGTGGGTGTAGAATGGATAAACACGTCCCTTGGCAGCAGCGGGAGGTGGGCACCGGCCCCTGCACCTGAGGAGTCCCTGCCTGGGACTTGCAGGGCTGTGACTGTGCCGCACGCGGGAGCGCACGCCCACACGCCCCGCTGGGCCCTCGCTGCTCATTCCCCCTCCTCTCAACACCCTCTTTTCTGGGGAGCTCCATCCTCTCCAGGGGCTTCACACCGCCACCCGCAACAGCAAACCCCGGCCACTGACCGGGGAGGGGGCTCTGGGGGGGACCTCACAGGTGTGCCGTCCGGGGGCACAGCACTCACTCACCAGGTCGTTCCCGCTGATGATGGACAGGGACAGCGGGGAGTGGCCGCTCCACAGCAGGCTGGTGTCCGCTCTGTGGGAGAGGAGGAGCCGGACGATGTCCCGGGCGCACTGGGCGGGAGAGAGGCAGAAGGACCGCGGGCTGGCGAGGCCTGACTCCCAGGAGCACCGGGCGCAGGTGATGAACTTGGACGCCATTAGGTCAGTGTGGTCGCCCAGTGCTCTTTCCGCCACCCCGGCGCCCTGGCTGGCACAGAGTGTTCTGGAAGCTGGTGAACGAGTGGTGGGTGGGTAGGTGGTCCTCAGACTGAGGCGTTTTCTAAACATTCGTCATTTCCCACGGAAAGTAGGAGGGACGAGGGAGGCGCCGATTGATTTAAGGCTCGTTGTCCAGACGGCGAGGGAGAATCAGGACCACGTGACTCAGCACAGCACAGCCGGGCACAGAGTGGGTATGACCTGTGGACATCCTGCCCCGGGGCTCGGGAACCCTACAGCAGGCGTCCCCAACCCCCGGGCCGTGGACCAGTACCAGTCCTGGCCCATTAGGAACTGGGCCACACGGCAAGAGGTGAGCGGCGGGCAAAGGAGCGAAGCTCCATCTGCATTTGCGGCCGCTCCCAGCGCCAGCATCACTGCCTCAGCTCCGCCTCAGATCCTCAGGCGTTAGATGCTCGCAGGAGCCCCAGTCCCTGGTGCCAAGGTTGGGGGCCGCTGCCCTACAGAACACAGCATGTGAAGGAAGCGTGGCTAGGCCTAAAGGAGCAAGTCTCGCCTACACGCCCTCCCTGCCCTTCTCCCAAGGACCCTTGTCCCCACCCTCTCCCCAGATGCAGGGGGCCCCCCTTGGTGGCTTCCGTCCCCACCACGACCCTGCTCCAGCCCGGCTCTGACGCCGAGTGCTCTGCTGAAACCCCTCCCTCCTTCCACCCGAGTCGTGGGTAACATGGGCTGGCTGGGCCACCCTCCAGGCCTCCCGGCCGGCGCCAAAGCCATGCCAGCTGGGTGTGCTGAGGGGCTCCTGGGAAAGCTCCCGCCTCTCCCCCACTCCCCGCTCCGCTGGAATGCAGATGCGATGGCTGGACTGCTGCAGCCTGTCTGTCAGCGCTGGACTCGACACTGGCCATCTGTCCTTGGCTTGACGATGACGTCACCTCTAGTGTCTCCTAGCTTCGCTTCCCTATAGCTTTCCAAGTCCGGCGCCCAACGAAGGACACAGGTGTGTGAGACGGAAAGCTCCACGTTAGAGCCAGGCCTCGTACTCCCCGGCCCGGCCTGGCCGGCCTGCCTCTCGGGGCCTCGCTGTCCCGTTGCTGGCGCGGGCTCACGGTTCCCCTCAGAAGGTTCTGGTCAGGGCGGCAGCCCAGTCCCAAGGAGGTTTAGACAAGAGAGGTCCCAATGGGTGACCCCGCCTCCCGGGGCAGGACATGAGATCATCACTTGTGCAGTGGCACGCCGCCCGAGCCACAGCCCCGTGAGGCTGGCTGTTATTGTCACTTCACGGGAGGGTAAACTGAGGCTCGGTTTACTATGCACTCAGCGGTATACTGGCCTGGGCTGCATGGGCCACTACACCACGAAGCCAAGGCCGGTCCCCAGTTCCGCAACGGCCGCCCTGGCCGCTGGCCGTCCTCTCACCAGGAGCTAAGCCCGAGGCTGACGCGGGCAGCACTAAAGGCCGGAGGGCCGGGGGCCACAGCCCAGGGCTCTGCAGGACGGTTGACAGCCTAGGCCAGCCACGCCCAAATGTGTACAACCAGGTCCCATACTGAGAAAGTGACCCACGTGTATGCAGGCCCACGTGGACGCGTGTCCCTAAAACGTGCTGGCACACGCTGTGACACACGGCCCCGTGCAACGCCTCCAACAGTTCTGTTCCGTTTTGACCTAGTGAGTTCTATTCCTGCGGGTGTCACCACCCCATCCGTTCTAGGCAGGGTGGCCTCGGCGGACACCTGAGCCCAGCCTGGTCCCTGCTAGGGCTGTTGACTCACGGCCTTGCCCCCAGCACACCAGACACACAACATGCACACAACGTGCACATGCACCCCCCCAAGCACACCCACGTACGCACACTCGCATGCACACCCATGCATACATGTGGTGACTGATTGTTCAAGCTCACACACAGACATGCTCGCACACACAGGTACATACACACACATGCACAGTCCTGTACACACACTCGTGTGCACACCCAAGGCACACACATGCACAGTCCTGTACACACACTCATGTGTGCACACCCAAGGCACATACATGCACAGTCCTGTACACACACTCATGTGCACACCCAAGGCACACACATGCACATCGCTCCCGTCCAGCCCAGGAGGCCCCGGCTCACCTTGTAGTTGTCCTCCCGCTCACAAGCCACGTGCAGAGCCGTCCGGCCCCCCTCGTTGGGGACAGACGTGTGGTCACTGTAGTAGATTCTGGGTGGGCCTGCCTCGTTATTGAGCTTCAGGCTTGAAGGCAACAGGTCTAGCTGTGTGCAGACAAAGGAGTCAGGTCCTGGTCCCCAAGCCCCTCTCCCAAGCACCCAGAGGCCCGCCACCTGCCCAGCCAGGCTGGGCCCTAAGCCCCCGCAGGGGCGAGTTCACACACAGCGTGTGCACGGAGGAGCGTGTGGCCTTCCTCCCTGGACGGTGGGTCTGCAGCAGCACCCGGCGCATCGTCCGAGTGGGCCCCGAGCCGCCCAGCACCCACGCGGGCCCCAGTCTCCCTCGCACGGGGGAGTGTGCACATGCTGCCACGGATCCAGGCTGGTTTGGGGCACCCAGATCGACCTCATTAGGGACAGGTGACATAAAAGCGAGATTGTGAACTGGACGGCACTGCCTACGGAGTGCCACGGGGCCCCAGTGCCCGCCCTCCTGAGTGGCAGATGGAGCACCTTGCCCAGTCTGTGCACGTCGTCCTGGTCAGCTGCCCTGGCGTCCACGTCCGTGACAGCGTGGAGCAGCAGTTCGGTGATCTTGACACCTGCCTCCCCGGGCAGGGCAGCTGCAATGTGGAGGGGGGTCAGGGACCCCCGCTACAGAGGAAGCGCAGGTGGGGGTGAGCGCAGTGCCCGGTGAGCAACCCCCCAGTGCGAGGGCCTGTGCAGTCGGGGTTCCCCCACCTGGCTGGGGTTCCCACAGCCCCGCTGTGACATGCAGGACAACGAGGTGCCCATGAGGACCGCGAGCGGGTCCCAACTCATAAGGCGCTTCTGTCTGCCAAGGCCGCGGACAGCAGCACAGGCCCTGGTGAACCAGCTTCATTTTAAGCTGACTGTCCCTATCTTCCCCTAGGAAAGCCCCTGTCCTCCCTGCCAGGACACTGTCCACCTGCCACCACACAGAGAGATGGCCAGGCAGCTCCTGACACCAGCCTCTGCCCCGGGCCTGTCCTCCTCCACCCCCGGCAGCCCTCTGGCCATCGCTGAGTCTCTGGAGGACTGTCTCCGGACGATGCTCCGTCAGCACCGGCCACACGGAGACGGTCGGGGGGACCCGGCCCTGGAGGACACAGAGCCACCTCGGTGAGAGGCCCCAACCAGGAGCACACAGTGCGCCTCGGGCCAAGCTGGAGGACCCTCAAGGCAGGAGCCCCGGAAACAGGAGGGGCCCTCAGAGAAGGGCTGGAGGGACTCCCAGAAACGACTGGCATCGGCCCACCATGCTGGGGCGATGGGCAGCCTCCCGGCACCTGCGGAATGCTGGCTACTCCGCACCTCACTGAAGCAGAACTCCCATTTGAAAGATGAAAGCAAACCATAGATTCTTAATTAGAGGCGGATGGGTGGGTGGATGGGAGGATAGGT